ACCCAGCCTCCTTTAGGGGAAGACCAAGTGGAACCCGTCCAAAAGTATACCAACTTGGACCTGAATCAGTGGAAGAGAGGATTGTGCTGAATACCCATTTTATTAACTAATCAGTCCCTGATATCTGCAGGAAACTGAAGCATAAGACACTGGGACCCCAAAGTGACTCAAATGAGCTACTGAACTTGGCCACTCTGGTGTTCAACAACTGTGACCTGGAAGAAACAAGAATTCCAAAAGGCTACATTGTTAGGAGCTGTTATTGCAGCCAATCCACATGATCCAGAATGAGGGGAGCAAGAAAGGCGGTGGTCCTCTGGCAGCCGTGTGAAGTCTGGCCAGATGTGTCTCAACTGTGGCACACATTGGGCCATCTGAAGATAGCAGATTACCAGGGGTCTAATATGGATAGCAGAGTGGATGGGGTGCTATCCTAGCCACACCACACCCATAACTCTCTCAAGAAAGCAGCCAAGGAGATGACAGCAAGTGAGTACCTGTCATGGAATTGATGGGGCCCAGGCTCTTCAACAGCTCCCACTATCAAAATGAAGCCAGAGGAGCTGTGTGTCACAGTGGATGTAGCCAGTGAGCTTGTCACATCCTATTGGACATGGGAGCAGCTCTTTCAGTTTTGAAAGCCTTTGTCCTCCTCCAGTCACTTAGTTGTTGGCATCAAGGGCAACCCATTCCCAGGTACTTAACTTCTCCTTTGTGTTGTGGTTAGGAAGGGCTTTTAATTACTTACCAATTTTTGATTATCCTTGAATCACCAGCACCCTTAGTGGGATGAGATTTCCTATCTAAGTTAGGAAATGGCAGGTCTATTTTACCTCTTTGAAGAGTCTGCATGCTCCTTTCCATAGAGAGGCAATTTTAATTGACAGTCTCACCATCAGTGTAAAAGTATCCCTTTCTCTCTAAATCAATGCCAGCATCTACAGCTTTGAGACTTTGCAATATGGGCTATTCTCACTGGGATTTGGTGATGTCTCAGGGTGCTTTTGATTTGCATTTCTCTGATGATTAGGGATGATGAGATTTTTCCTGTGTTTGTTGGCCATTCATCTGTCTTTTTAAGAAAAGGTTCTTTTCATGCCTCTTGCCCACTTATAAATGGGATTGTTTGTTCTTTTTTTTTTGCAATTTTTTGGCCAGATTGGGTTTGAACCCACCACCTCTGGTATATGGGGCCGGCGCCCTACTGCTTGAGCCACAGGTGCCGCCCTGCTCTTTTTTTGTTGATTATTTTGAATTTTCTATAGATTCAGTTTCTCAGTCCTTTGTCAGGTTCATAGTATAGAGATATCTTCTCCCATTCTGAAGGTTGTCTATGTGCTTTAGTTGCTGTACACTGAGGTGTGCTAAAGCTTTTTGTTTGATCAGGTCCCATTTATTTCTTTTTTGCTGTTGCTACAATTGCCCAGGGGGTCTTCTTCATAAAATCTTTCCCAGGCCAATGTTGTTAAGAGTTTTTCCATACTTCCTCCTATAATTTTTATTGTTTCATGTCTTAAATTTAAATCTTTTCAGGTTTATTTAATGGGGACAGAGGAGGTAAAACTCTCACTCTTTGCTGAAGATCTCATCTTATACTCAGAAAACCTCACAGACTCAACTACAAGGCGCCTGGAAGTGATCGAGAAATACAATGAAGTCTCAGGATAGAAAATCAATGTCCACAAATCAGCAGCCTTCATGTCCTCCAATAACATTTAAGCTGAGAATCAAATCAAAGACACAATACTCTTCACAGTAGCTTCAAAGAAAATGAAATACCTGGGAATATACCAAACAAAGGATGTGAAGGTTCTTTACAGAGAGAACTACAAAACCCTGAGAAAAGAAATATGAAGAGACATTCACAAATGGAAAAACATACTATGCTTATGGCTGGGAAGAATCAACATGGTTAAAATGTCCATCCTACCCAAAGCAATCTACAGATTTAATGCAATCTCCATCAAAGTACCAATGTCATTCTTTGAAGAACTTAAAAAAAGAGTACTTTATTTTATATGGAACCAGAAAAAAACCAAATAGCCAATGCAATTCTAAGAAATAAAAACCCTTTCTTAAGATTGTTTTTAGAATTATTTTGGAAGCTGTATCTGAGTAATTAAATTACATCATGGCCACATCATGTAAGTGAAGAAATCCAGGAATGCCAAAGGCCTATGTCAGGAGGAAAAAAGGAAGGAAATGAAGAAATGGCCTCATGGAAATGTATTTATCACACCAGATGGCTGCATTGCTCATGAAAACAGTATGACCACTCTGATAGGATGGAAGTAAAATTTCCAGGAAATTTTAGGAAGTTGAGGGATGAGTTATAAACCGCAGCAAACACAACACACACAGTGTGTGAATCTGTCATTCAAGTAGGAAAGTTACAAATCATCATAAAATACCTAACTTCAGAAAATATCCTCTATAACGTTTCAACGTTTTGAAATGTGTTGATACGTTCATCATGAGCCACAGAGGGTCTTTTTAGAAAATGTTCCCAGTGCACTGGAGACACAGATGTGATTTGTGCACCTGCTGGGTACAGTGTCTGTCACACACCGTCAGGGAGGAGGGTGGTTAAGTGGCTTCACTCTTCCCCAATTGCTGAGTGATGCTGCTTTGCACACTGAGCACTGAGAGAGTCTGTTAGAGTACTTAGCCATGATGATGCATTTGTATATTGCTTTTTTGTAGTCTCTCCATTTTGCTTTATATATTTTGATAGTATGTCATGAAATTCAGAAAATTTTAGAAATGTTTTGTCTCTTGTTTATTCTTTTGTACTTTTGTATTTTTGTATTTTTTGTATTGTTTGTATTGTTTTGTATTATTTGTATTGTTTATTCTTTTGTACTTTTGTATTTTAAATCAGCCATTTTTATCTCTAAGACTGCCTCTTTCCCTAAGGTGTAATGTCTTAACTTATCTTTTATTAATAGATCAATTATTAAGACATGTACTAAGAATATTGATTGTATATTAGTAGTTACTAAGAAGGAATCAATATTAGTAATATGTCCCTGACAAGTTTCCTTCCATTACTTTTAGCATATTAAATTTTTAATTGACACATAATAATTATACGTACTTAATGCATGCATTGAGATGCTTCTATGTAGATAATGTACAGTGATCAGATCATGGTAATTAGCATATGCATCATTTCAAACATTTATTATATTTTGAGTTGAGAACATTCAAGAAACTCCTTTTAACTTTTTGAAATTATATATTATTGTTACCGTCAGTCATCCTACATTGGTATAGAATGTCAGAGATTATTCATTGTATTGAGTTATAATTCAAATTACATCTTTTAAGTAGCACAGTTAATTCTCAATTTATTTGTCTACTATCTTGTTATTCTATTTGTCCTACCTCTTTAAAGTTTTAAATTTTTACTAATTTTAGATTTACAAAAATATTTTATAGCCCTTACAGAGTTTTTGTATGAAATCTCTATCTCAGTGTCCCCCAATGTTGATGTCTTGTGTAATTATATTACATTTCTCAAAACTAAGAAATGAA